TACAGGATAATGGAAGTTACAACTTCTCTTTTTCCTGTGAGGGTACCCAGTTTCCTCCTGGATGGTCTTGGCATCTCTTCACCCATTTTCTCTAGAGTTGACATAATTTATTTGGGATGACATCATGCATGCTAACACATGTGCACGTCTCCCTCCCTCCATCTAGGCAGCATCACATTATTCGCATTTATCACCATCATCCTGGGATGCTTGAAAGTCGGGTACTTCGTTGGATTTTCTGAGTGCTTGTCAGCCACAGAGGGAGTGTTCCCGGTCACCCACGCGGTGCACACGCTGCTGCAGGTAAATCATTGCTGCTTATTCACGTCATCTCTGTTCCTGTACGGTGTGTCCCGCAGCCTGCAGCAACAACATATTTAGCAGGCGGCTGTCGGCTTTGCAATATTTCGGTGGCTCCTGGCAGGAAGCCTGAGCCGTAGTCGCCTCTCTGGGCCACAGACCTTTTGTTTTCCCACTTGGGTTGGAGCCTTTTAGACGTGTACGAAGCTCCTGCTCTCAGGATGGATGAACTTGGCTTAGCTAAGAAGTCAGGATTTTATAGATGAAATTTAAACACATAGCTTACAGGCAGGAAAACATCTCATGACTGCAGAGACTCTTAGACCCTAGTTCAGCACGCAACCTTAGCAGGTTCTCTGCTGGCTCTTTGGATTCTTGTTACTCCGCTAAGGAAAGTCATGGCTGACATTTTTTTTTTCAAATAAAAAACTTTACTGAGAATTTCATACACTTTCTTTCTTTCTTTCTTTCTTTCTTTCTTTCTTTCTTTCTTTCTTTCTTTCTTTCTTTCTTTCTTTCTTTCTTTCTTTCTTTCTTCTTTCTTTCTTCTTTCTTATAATGGGGCCTTTTGCTACTCTAACATCCCCCCTCTGGAGAGGTAACCCTAATTAGAATCTTTTAGGGATTAGATAAACGCTCCCAAATACTTTTGACATTTTGGCCTTTGGAACAGAGTATGTTGCTAAGAAGCCCAAGGACATTTTGCCTTTTAGCCAAGAAACTGGCTACTTTTCTTTGGGGTCTTTTAACCCTAATTTCCCAGCCAATTCCTACCTCCTATTCTTACCACACCATCCTCTGAAGAGGTTACCCAAATTGCTGATAGGGAATCAGGACACAGACCACTCTGGCTTCTTCCATGTTGAACAGGGATACAGGGTGAGGCAATTGGGGTACCCCTCCAGTGGGTCTATCTAAAATACTCTCAAAATTATGGCTGACATTTTTTATAGCACTTTAGAATACACAAAATACATTTTCCTTGATTTCTCTGTGTAATAATTAAAAAACCCCACCATGATGGCGCTTCACCAGTCACAAGAGCCAAGATACAGAATCAACCCTATCTCTCATGGCTCTATCTGAAATGTGCCTTCAGGCTCGTGTTTTGAGGGTTCATTCCTCAGCAGGTGGTGGTGATGCTATCTTAGGAGGCTGTGGAATCTTTAGGAGGTGAGCACCAGCTTGTGGTCACTGGGCTTGGCTTTCCATGAGTACGGACTAGCCCCCTTTTTCTGGCCTTGTTCTGGCCTCTACCATGAAGTGAGGACCCTCTGCCACACGCTCCTGGCACCATGAGTTCTGCCTTCCCCACCAGAATGGATGAAAATTCTCTGAAGCTGTAAACTGACTCAAAGCTTTCCTTCCTTAAGTTGTTTCTGTCAGGCATTTTGGTCAAATTGATGCAAAGGAGCTAGTACTGTATCCACTGATGTTTGAATGGATGAAGAAAAGTGCTATATGTCCATAGTGAAATACAATTCAACCATAAATAGTGAAATCCTGTCACTGACAGCAACTTGGATAGAACTGGAAGATGTTGTGTTAAATGAGATCCATCAGACATAGAGACAAAGTCTCATGTAGCCCAGCTTGGTCAGGAACTGTCTGAGGTCAAAGATGGTCTTAAGCTTCTCATCTCTCTGCTCTTACCTCTGGAGTTCTGGGATTACGGGCCTGTGTGCCAATACCTCAGTTTATGTAGTGCTGGAGATTCAACCCAGGGCCTCCTCCATGAAGGCTGGCACTCTGTCAGCTGAGCTGCAGCCCCAGCCAGTCAGGTATAGAAGGACAAACAGCATGCTCCCACTTATACATGAACAATAAAGGTTGGTCACATGGAAGTTCAGAATAGACCAATGACTACCAGAGCCTGGGAAGGTAATGGGGGTGGAGGGCTGGTGGGAGGATAGTCACCAGCTACAGAGGATGGCTGGACAGGAGGGATACCTTCTAATGTTCTGTAGCACAGTGGGGTAACTATGGATGACAATTAATTGAATATTTCCAAATGCCTAGGAGAAGAGTCTGCATGCTCCCAACGTAGGGAAATGGTCTATGGGGCCAGCGAGGTGGCTCAGCAGTCAAAGGCACTTGCTGTACAAGGCTGGAGAACTCAGTTCAATCCCTGGAACCCATGTAAAGGTGGAAGGGGAGAACAGACTCCATGAAATTGTCCTCTGACCGTCACATGCACACCGCAGTACACATGTCGCCACCTCCATGGCTACAAGTGTAAGGTGGCCAGCGATACCACATTCCCATTGAACACTGTGTACATGGGAAGCACCACACTAAACTACATAGCTGTGTACAATTACAGTGCTCCAGTCAGTAACAAAAACATACTAACATAAAAACAGACCTTGGGTGATCGCTCTTTTCTTTCTTAAATTTTAACACGTACAATGTGCTGTTTTGATGTATGTATACAGAGTGATTGTCACAATCAAGGACATTGCTGTATCTGGCACCTCGAGGTTTCCTTCCTGGGTTTTGTTAGTGGTAGGAACACCTAGAAGCTAGTGGCAGCGAGCCTGCGGCAGCCAATGCAGTGTCACAACTGTAACCCTCATCTTGTCACCGGCTCTGTAGACCGTCATCGCACAGGCTGACCGCTGTGGGCCCTTTGCCTGCAGCTTCCCACCCGTCTCCCCACTCAGCCTGTTTGCTGCTTCTGTGTCGTTCTCTCACATTTCTGAGATTCCGTGTGTACGTGGGATCATGCTCTGTCTTCCAGTGGAGTCACCATGAACTTAGACCAGAGATACTGACATTGGTCAAATATTTCTGGATTCCCAGCTTGAAAAGACTCCTTAGAAAAAATTTTGAGGCCCCTGAAAGGGAAGGATATTCTAAACTCTTGTCTTCTGTCCAAAGCCACCTCTGGCTCGCACACTTAGTTGGCTTGGCCAACAGCTCAATAACTCTTCCAGAATACCCCTGGAAGCCTAACGAATCATCTTGAACAAGGCTAGCTGGGGGAGTGGGTAGAGGTGCTCAGGCATGTTAGCTTGGTGGTGGATGGTGGAAAGGTCAGAAGCCACTAGGGTTTGGGGTGAAGGCTACCAGGCAGGTGAGGACTGTTCTGTTCATTTGATGAACTCTAATCTTCAGTTCCTCAGAATGTGGCTGTTTTGGAGGAAGGGCCTTTTAGAGGGGAATGAGAGAAAGTGAGGCCCTTGGGATGGCCTATCAGTGCCCTTATACAGAGAGATTAGAACACAGTGCCCTTATACGGAGAGGTTAGAACACAGTGCCCTTATAAAAGGAGAGGTTAGAACACAGTGCCCTTATAAAAGGAGAGGTTAGAACTCAGTGCCCTTATACAAGGAGAGGTTAGAACACAGTGCCCTTATATGGAGAGGTTATATGGTGCCCTTATATGGAGAGGTTAGAATAGAGTGCCCTTATAAAAGGAGAGGTTAGAATACAGTACCCTTATAAAAGGAGAGGTTAGAACACAGTGCCCTTATATGGAGAGGTTAGAACACAGTGCCCTTATAAAAGGAGAGGTTAGAACACAGTGCCCTTGTACGGAGAGGTTATATGGTGCCCTTATATGGAGAGGTTAGAACACAGTACCCTTATAAAAGGAGAGGTTAGAACACAGTACCCTTATAAAAGGAGAGGTTAGAACACAGTGCCCTTATAAGGAGAGGTTAGAACACAGTGCCCTTATAAAAGGAGAGGTTATATGGTGCCCTTATACGGAGAGGTTAGAACACAGTGCCCTTAAAAGGAGAGGTTAGAACACAGTGCCCTTATATGGAGAGGTTAGAACACAGTACCCTTATAAAAGGAGAGGCTAGAACACAGTGCCT